CCCAACATACACAAACTCATCCATCCAGACCCGGTGGGATTTATCCCCTCCAGACAAGTATACGACAACACAAGATGGACATTTGACCTCCTATGAGCTGCGACGCACAGACAAATCCCCACAATCCCCACAGACAAATCCCTATCCCTGGATGCCACTCTCCGCAAATTTCAAATCCCCCAAACCCTCCTCAACGCACTCCAGTCCCTATACTCCACCCTGGAGGCAAACCTCTTGATAGCCAACGCACACCCACCCTCCTTCCGCATCTTTAATGACACACCTCTCTCCCCGGTCCTGTTCGCACTCTCACTGGAGCCCTTCCTCCAGGCCTTACATCACGGGAATGTGCATCTGGGGGGAGGAATATAAAGGTGCTGGCTATGCTGACGACCTCCTTTTAACTCTTACGGATCTGGAGCGTTCACTCCCACGACTACTATGCGCCATAGAAAACTATTCAAAGATATCAGGATACCGCCTAAACTTAGACAAAATTCAAACCCTACATGCCCCCGCGGGACTAAAAAGATGGGTAGATCTGGATCACTATATGTTCGGAAAGTACTTTCCTTCCCTGTACATTTGGCTTCCAAAACAGGCACGACCACAGGCCCCACACACCACCCCGGCACTAACCACCTCCATACCCATCTGAAACAAACTTTCCCTGAGACACTCGCTCACGACGGACCCATCGCCCCATGCCCCAATTCTGAGGAGCGAACAATTCACACCAGGTATGACCCCGCAAGACTTCACTCATTATGAGGACAACAATCTACACCGAGTCTACCGATTCGTTCAAAAACACCAAATAATTCCATTCGCGGATCTGCCCCAAACCACACGACTCACAACCTACGACGATACCTCCAAATACGACACCACTGACTACAAATGAGCGGGACAAACACCCTTCACTATCTTCGAACAAACCCTGTACAAAAAAGCCAAATTTCTGCGACATACTCCCTGTTCGTCAAAACAACCCTGACCTTACATCTCAGCCTGGGAGAGAGACCTGGGCCCCCCCACTGACCCCACAGATTGGTCAGCCATATGGGAGGCCACAGCAACTGTGACCATTTGTGTCAACCAAAAATAACAGGCCTACCACACACCCCTGAAGCTCAAACAAATGGGACTCTCCACATCGGATAGGTGCTAGAAGGGATGCGGACAAAAGGGAACATATTACCACCTTTGGTGGGAATTCCAACACATAATGCAAATCTGGACAAACACAGTGACCCTAGCATCGAAAATCCTATATGACACTATCCCAAGGGACCCCTGGCTATGGCTGCTATCCAAACCTTTGAAAGACATACCCAGAGTGCAAAATAAACTACTAGCCAAACTAGCCTTAGCAACCAGGAGGGCTATAGCCACACACTGGGGCATAGCCACAGTCCCGACTATGGACGAAAAAAAGATGGACGAAGCCAGGCAAATGGACAGCATGTCAGCCCTTATTCATGACACCACAGCCCACTGCGACAGGATCTGGGATCCCTGGCTCACTGAGCTGTCGACCCCAATCTAACGTTACAAACATAAAAGGGACGCGGCCGTGCGGCCTCTGAGAACCCAAAATTTACCTTCCCGACTCTATCGCCCCACCCCCCCTGCTGTCCCCTACCCGCCACCCCACCAATGCAGATACAGCACTGCCACACCCACACCAAATCCACACCATTACTAACGGAAGGGCAGAGACCCAACACTCTTGACATGCTCACAGGGCCAAAAGATACCTCCGCCCAAGACCCACCTCATCCCCCTTATGGGAGTGTCCCTAACAACCACTAACCCGCACCCCTGCCCAGTGGACAGGGACAGCACACCTTACACCTGTACTTGTCTCTCCTCCACCCCTCCTTTTTTTTCTGTACCCCTTAACTTTTTACGGTGTACACCCACCGCCGGTGAATACTATATGCGATATCTGTAAGTAACATTGTAAAAAAAAAAAAAAATACCTCTGAGAAGAGCTTTTGGGTCTCACAAAAAAAAATCATAAAAAATGAACCCCTAAAAAAATGCACATACAGCAAAAAAAGTGCTGCTGTGCAAGAGCCAGTGATTATAGTGATCACTGGCAAGATAGGGGTTAATGGCTCTGAAAAGAGCTTTTGGGTCTCAAAATTTTACAAATCCCTACCTAAAACTACATAAATCTCTCTAAATCTCTCTAGCTAAAACACAGATCTATCTCCCTCTCTCACTAAAACACAAGTGAAGAGATGCACACTGATCAGAGTCAATATTTACTAAAATTAACCTGATCAGACAAATGGGGATCATAGTTAGAATAAAATTATTGGGGCAAGCTGTGATTGGATGACCCTAGCCTGCCCCTATGATGAGACAGGCTAGGGACAACCCCAGAAGCCCCATGATGCACTGCCTTTAGAAAGGCAGCGCCATCTTGGGATGCACATGGTTGGGGAAGGGAGGGGGGTTAAAATGACTTATTTTATTTTTATTTATTTTGTATTTTTTTTAATATTTATATATTTCTTCGCTAAGTGCCTCGACCCCTCAAGGCACTCAGCACATGCAGAGCATCGGAAACCTGCCCGATGACTTCCGATGCTCTGCTTAACTGCCGGGTGCCACGTGGAGTAACTCGGAAGTGATCGCTGTGCCCGGCAGAAATAAGCATTATTGCATGATGCCTCAACATCGAGGCATTGCTGCAATACTATCAGAGTGGCTGAAAGCGATCACGATGGCTTCCAGCGCTCAAAATTAGCCACAGACGTTTCAGGTATGTCCGAGGTCCTTAAAGAAGGTTTTTTTGTCGGATGTACCTTATACGTCCACGGTCGGGAAGGGGTTAATTATACTAGAGTGAAAAGCTTCTTGAAAGAACATGCCTTGATGGAAAACAATGGAAATATATTTATGCAGAAAGATAATAAAAAACAGAGAAAAAGAAATATTACCAAATGGGAAAGAGATTTGTCTCAGACTCTCGATTAGCAGTCATGAAATTCAGCATTTTCGAATTTTACAAAAAATATCCATGATTTCTCATTGCTAGAAATGCACTTTAAGTGCATTAATAGATGGTATTTTGTTCCAACAAGAATAGCTAAAATGTTTTCAATAATAAATCCTGGAGATGTGAGGAAGAAAAAGGCTCATACATGCATATTTTTGGGGAATGTAAAAAAGTAAGAACTCTATGGTCATGGGCTTTTCAGTTCATTAAAAAAGCATTACATGGGTGCTCTAATTATAATACTCAAAGGGGGGCAAAGTGCAAATCAGTAATTTTTTTTAATTACCTTCAAGCGTTTTCTCAAGTATTGTGGATTTTAAGTGGATTTTTGGGGCTGATGAAAAGAAGAGTTAGAAGTATAGATTTTTTTTATTTTATGGGTATTGCTTTAATGCCCCCTCCATTATTATTAGGATCAAAGTGGAAAGGTAGGGTTGGTTTATTTTAATGGAATCAGATAGGAGATTGGGAACCCTTAGCCACCTGGAGTGGAGACAATGGCAGTTTTAGGAGGGAGCAATGGCATGTCCATACCCACATTGTATATTCTAATTAAAGCTCCCACTTGCCACTAATGAGTGGGTGCAAGGGTGGAGAAATTAGATCCATTCCCTTAATATTATCATAGCTTGCTGCTAGTGGGTGGGGTTGAGGATGCTATGTTTCCCCTTTTTATAAAGTAGCTCCCATGCACTGACCGTGGATGGGGGATATAAGGATTTTCCTTCCCATTTTATTACATTTATAAGCTGCATCTACTTGCCAGGGGCAGAAGGCTGAGGGGTGGATGGTGATCTGTCCATTCTCAATTATTAAACCTAAAGTCCCCCACCTGATGCCCATTGGATGGGGCCTTTACAGTAACTGAGCAGGCTGCCCAGTTGCTAGTTTTAAAAATATAATAGATATTCCGCAATGTGCAGAAATGCAGACCATGTGTCTCGTGAGAACTGGCCAATCAGAGGGTTGCCGCGTGTTACCACAGCAACGCTCTGATGGGTCTCGCGAGATACATGGTCTGCAGCTCTGCGGTGCTGCAGACCGGATATAATGGCCACCAGGGAGCCCAACGGACCACCAGACAGCCCACACTGGACCACCAAGGAATATAAAAAGTATTTAGTCCCCCCGTCTCCCAATTATCCCCCCTCCCTCACACCATCATGCCCCTCTCCCTCTCACCATCACCCCCCTCCCTCTCACATTACCCCACTCCCTCATACCATCACCGCCCTCCCTCTCACATCACCCCACTCCCATTCAACATCACCTCCTCGCTCTCACCATCACCCCCTCCCACTCCCCATTAACCCCTCCCTCTCACCATCACGCCCTCTCTCTCTCACCATCACCCCCTCTCACCATCACATTCCTCCCTCCCTCTCACTATTACCCTCCTCCCTCTCACCATCACCCCCTCCCTCTCACCATCACCCACTCCCTCACACCATCACCCCTTCTCACTATCACCATCACCTCCCTCCCTCCCACCATCACCCCCTCTCCCTCTTGATGTGGAAATCAATCAATAAATTGATTATCTTACGTATCTGCCCCAGGCCAAATTAAGAAGTAATGCACACCAGACACAGGTTTCAGGTTAATGAAAAACTTGAGGAATGTTTATTCAGGGGGGACGACATGTCCCTTATAAAGCAAAATTACATCATAAGCATTGTCAGAGATAACATGAAATAATACATCAATAATTGGTTAGGTGTTAAGTGGTTCATTTAATGCTCTGCCTACTGGGGGTGATGTCACTGGTATCTTGGAGGTCTCCCCCAGATTCCAGCTCCATCTTGTTAGTGAGGGTGTTAGTCGATGTCGAAGGGGAAACTCCCTAGCAGCCATTTTAGGTAAATCACATAGAAAGTTGAATAATGCTGATTGTAGTTATGTTGAGTAAATATTAAATTGGGTTAATATTTTTGTCCATAACAGTCCCCCCTTAAAATGACTATTTACGAAAGAAGGAGGAATAAAACAGCCAACTACTAGCTAACCCTAATAATGTCCCTAATTGGCTGCAGCTCATCTGTCTTAACAGGCCTCGAACACTTCACTGCGCAGGTATCCCACAGCGGCTAACCCACTACATCTCCTGCGTCAGACTTCTCCCCGTAGAGAGAGACGCTGTCCCTACACTGTCCCTATATAGTAGTTTTAGTAGTTGTCTGTTTGAAGTGGTGGGACTGAAGAGGTGTGTGAGGTGTGTCACAGTCCATTTCGTCAGCATCTTGATGTAGGAATATAGGTGTAGTGCAGTCAATGGTCTGAACTACGGTCTTCTGTAGATATTTTTGTACACAAGGTACTACATAACAAGTCAGGAAGAGGAAGAAAATCATTACAGTACGAACTGCCATACGTATTTGGAAAAGAGTCCTTTGCAATCCACTCATCCACCCAAACCATCTGTGCCATGAATTGGGGACTCATTAATTTTTTTTTAATTTGTCAGAAAGATTTTTTAATTTCTCTATAGGCATGGTTACCTTACCATTAGGACCGGTATTGTCCAGAATAAAAGTACAGCATGTCATAGTATCGGGGAGTATCTTACATGTGCCCTCCTTTTCTGCTAGAATCATGTCTAAGGCTATTCGATTCCTGTAGGGCATTTCGAGTTAGTTGACAAATCGTTGCTGGTTATAGTAAATGTAATTGATCCAGTTAACATTTTTATTAGCAGTGATGAGTGGGATCAGGGATTCGAATCCTGCGGCCACCTCATCTCTGGCTTTAAACTCATTTGGTACCCCCCTAGGTACTCCGATGCCATCTATATATACATGTGGGTCAAAATTACCTTGGAGGGGGTTTTCTCTCTTTACTCTAAGAGACGTATGTGATGAATTGTATGGGCCTTGGTGGTTGTCAGGGAAGATGTGTATGGGCATGATAACTTTAGTCAGGGCACATTCTCCCCACCATGTGCCAGTCATCTTTGATCTGAGTTGCATGTCACCGCATAACCAATAAATATCTCCCACAGTTTTAATTTGATTTACAAGCAAGACAGTGGGAGGTTCCCGGTAAATGGCACAGTAACCAGAAGGGAATTTGCCTACGAATTTACCTGTGGTTCCATGTATTGTATACAGTTGCAAGAAAAAGTATGTGAACCCTTTGGAATGATATGGATTTCTGCACAAATTGGTCATAAAATGGGATCTGATCATCATCTAAGTCACAACAATAGACAATCACAGTCTGCTTAAACTAATAACACACAAAGAATGAAATGTTGCCATGTTTTTATTGAACACACCATGTAAACATTCACAGTGCAGGTGGAAAAAGTATGTGAACCCTTGGATTTAATAACTGGTTAAACCTCCTTTGACAACAATAAGTTCAACCAAACATTTCCTGTAGTTGCAGAAGTAATTCTTGACCATTTCTCTTTACAGAACTGTTTCAGTTCAGCAATATTCTTGGGATGTCTGGTGTGAATCGCTTTCTTGAGGTCATGCCACAGCATCTCAATCGGGTTGAGGTCAGGACTCTGACTGGGCCACTTCAGAAGCCATTCTGTTGTTGATTTATTTCTATGCCTTGGGTCATTGTCCTGTTGCAACACCCATCTTCTGTTGAGCTTCAGCTGCTAGACAGATGCTAGACAGATGGCCTTAAGTTCTCCTGCAAAATGTCTTGATAAACTTGGGAATTCATTTTTCCTTCGATGATAGCAATCCGTCCAGGCCCTGACACAGCAAAGCAGCCCCAAACCATGATGCCCCCACCACCATACTTCACAGTTGGGATGAGGTTTTGATTTTGGTGTGCTGTGCCTTTTATTCGCCTCACATAGTGTTGTGTGTTTCTTTCAAACAACTCAACTTTGGTTTATTCTGTCCACAGAATATTTTGCCAGTACTGCTGTAGAACATCCAGGTGCTCTTGTGCAAACTGTAAACATGCAGCAATGTTTTGTTTGGACAGCAGTGGCTTCCTCTGTGGTATCCATGAAATCCATTCTTGTTTAGTGTTTTACGTATTGTAGATTCCCTAACAGGGATGTTAGCATTTGCCAGTGACTTTTGTAAGTCTTTAGCTGACACTCTAGGATTATTCTTCAACTCATTGAGCAGTCTGCGCGGTGCTCTTGCAGTCATCTTTACAGGACGGCCACTCCTAGGGAGAGTAGCAGCAGTGCTGAACTTTCTCCATTTATAGACAATTTGTCTTACCGTGGACTGATGAACAGCAAGGCTTTTGGAGATACTTTTATAACCCTTTCCAGCTTTATGCAAGTCAACAATTCTTAATCGTAGGTCTTCTGAGAGCTCTTTTGTGCGAGGCATCATTCACATCAGGCAATGCTTCTTGTGAAAAGCAAACCCAGAACTGGTGTGTGTTTTTTATAGGGCAGGGCAGCTGTAACCAACACCTCCAATCTCATCTCATTGATTGGACTCCAGTTGGCTGACATCTCACTCCAATTAGCTCTTGGAGATGTCATTAGTCTAGGGGTTCACATACTTTTTCCACCTGCACTGTGAATGTTTACATGGTGTGTTCAATAAAAACATGGCAACATTTCATTCTTTGTGTGTTATTAGTTTAAGCAGACTGTGATTGTCTATTGTTGTGACTTAGATGATGATCAGATCCCATTTTATGACCAATTTGTGCAGAAATCCATATCATTCTAAAGGGTTCACATACTTTTTCTTGCAACTGTAGCAAGTGTAATTACCTGGATACACGATGACTCCATCAGGTGGTCCGGTGTTCCCTTGAGTTATTGGGTAAGCCTTCTTCCATGACTCACATGCTGATGAATTTACAACTGTTTGTGCATAGAGGCTTAAGAAACATGTCTCAACATCGGGAGGTAAATTTAAAGGCACTGTACCTAGGTGAGGTCTAGCCCCACCACAAACATAACAGTTAGTTTTATTATGAGAGTTAGCATTGTACCTCATCCATTAAAGCCATAGATTAGTATCTGAAAAACCAGTCTCCACAGCCATAGTGTCTTCAAGTGTGGGATTGGCAATAGCCACCATATCCTTAAGAGTTTTGATGTGTGGTTTTAGGGGATTAATGGTAATGTGTGTTGATTCTACCCAGTCAGGTGATGTAAGCATATCTTGTAAATAGAAGGTTCCTAACTTGTTGTGTGAGCCACCCCCTTTCCAGTACATTCCCATTATGTATTCCCCAGCATCTCCTGGGCTGGGATGTTCTATGTTTAAGGTCAGTTTTATTGTAGTCGACCCTGTTGTCTTACACAAGGTCATTCGGTATAACAACTCTGTCAACTCGGTCTAAGTCACTCTGTGGTCTGTAGGCCCATGGTCAACCCGTATTCCAACCCACCGCTTTCCATGAACTACAGTGATGTCCCCAATGGTCGCGCGTCACACAGATGTATGGGTCCTTTTTATTTGGTATGTCTTTGTATATTGCTGAGTGTTGTGATTGTGGGAAGGTGCAAGAAACAATATCACAATAATCAAAGGTAAATGTAGCCACGTGTGTGTTCGAGGAGTTATACCAAAATGTGTAAACATGATTGTCTTTAGTAATAGCAACTTGTTGGGGCTTTAAGAGGCCTAGCAGCAGACATAAGTATAAAAAGCTCATGTTTGGGTGGGATCCGCTTCCTCCGGATCAGGAACTCTCTTACAGTGTGAAGTGTGTATCCAAGTATTCTTCCCAGAGGTAGATGTAGTCACTAGTACTTGGAATGGACCATCAAACCTTGGCTCTAGAGTGTGTTTTCTTAGAAACTTCTTGACCATGACCCAATCACCAGGTAGTAACTTGTGCATGCCTATGTTTGACTCTGGATCTGGAATAGAAGAAGACACTTGTGCATAGATTTTGGTCAAATCATGAGAGAGTGCAGTTATATAATCTACCATTTCATCTGACTGGAGTTGAAGTTGTTGTGGAAAATAACAGCCTAACCTGGCTGCTGTCCCAAACAAGATCTCGTAGGGGGATAAGTTAAACCTTCCTCTTGGGGTATACCTTACACTAAATAATGCTATGGGAAGACTCTCTGGCCAGGGTAGGTTAGTTTCTTGTGACATTTTGAGCATTCTGGCTTTCAGAGTGCCATTCATGCGTTCTACCTTATCACTACTCTGTTGGTGATGGGGTGTGTGGAATGCAAGGGTCACCCCCAGTGCTGCCCAGATTTCGGTAAGGAGGTGTTTTGCCGTAGTCTTTGCAGTGAGATTAGCGACTGGAAAGGCTTCTGGCCATCCGGAAAACATATCAACTATAACCAGTGCGTATTCGTACCGGCCACTCTCTGGCATTTGGATATGATCAATTTGGATCCTTTGGAAGGGATACTGAGGTTTGACCATATGGTTTGGTGCAGCTTTGATTATTTTCCCTGGGTTGCATTTAGCGCAAATAGTGCAGGATCGGCAGTAATTTCGTGGTAAGGTAGTGATCCCAGGTGCTTTAAAATACTTCTCAATCAAAGAAATCATGAGGTGTTTTGACAAATGTGCCGGTCCGTGGGCCCACTGAACAACAGCTAGATACATATTTTTGGGTAAGCAGAATTTGAGGTTGATTGTATATATGTCATTCTGGAGGGTTGCTCCTTAGTCTTTTCAGCTTTGTTTTTCCTGTGGAGTAGCAGCGGCCTGTTGTTCTTTTAGGAGTTTGAGATCAGTGGGTAGGGTTTGCATGGTGTAAATAGGGGTCTTTCCGACAGACAATCTTCTGTCCACTTCCCAATTTTGGCGCGCTGCATCCTTAGCGGCTTGGTCGGCCAAATGGTTGCCATGTGCTTCTCCTGAGTTTAGTTTCCCGTGGGCTTTTACCTTCAGTATAGATACCTCTTCTGGGAGTAGCAAGGCATCCATCAGTTCGTTGATAGTTGCACCATGTTTTACTGGAATAACTGTTGCTGTAAGGAACCCCCTAATTTTCCAGATTAAGCCAAAATCATGTGCTACTCCTAGGGCATACATGGAGTCTGTATAGATGTTGACACGTTTCCCTTCTGACATTCTGCATGCCACCGTAAGGGCTATTAACTCAGCTTCTTGTGCTGATTTGGAGGAGGGGAGTGAGGATGCTTGAAGTAGCTGGTCTTCAGTGGTGACTGCATACCCAGTATGGTATTGGCCTTGTTCATCTGCAAATCTGGAACCATCCACAAACAAAGTGTAGTCAGGGTCCGGTAGAGCAGTCTCGTGCACTGTTGGAAGATGGGTAGTTTCCATCTTCATCTGTTCAAAACAATCATGTGGAGCTTCTGGATCTGGTTCTGTAGGAGGTATATCTTCACATAATATCGAGTACAACCGACAGTTTTGCAATTTATGATCTTTTTAGTGACCCCTGTCACTGTGAGTTGTTCTTGAGTTGCAGTACTCCATGCTTTGGCCATTGGTCCAAGTTCTTTCCATGAGAGGTCTTGAGACTTTGTGAAGGAGACATGAGGGACAGCCACCTCCCAATGGTGATACAAATGTGATAATTCCATAAGTAGATAGACTAGGATGACAATGTTTCCTTTGGAGTCACAGAACAGGTCTGTCAGTGTAATCTGTACTTCCACTAGGCTGAGTAATTCTTCTTCATAGTATGAGTCAGGACCAAGGGTGTCCCGAAACCATAGGGTGCAATGTAGTTGGGTCTCGGGTTGTTCATCATGTGGAACCGTGGGTTTTTCAATTTGAAGTTCCATGTAAACGTCAGGAGTTATATCCAGGCTGTACCAGTATTGTGGTACTCCCCCCTTGGGAAATGGCAGAAGAGTGGCCGGATTCAAAGAGTAACATCTTTGTAAAGAAACATTGTCCGGCAAAAGGAGAGAGGTTTGAAGGTGAAGGTGTCTCTGGCAGGAAAGGTGTTTCGGTTGGACTTGATTCAAAATGGCAGCGATATCATGGGGAGCCAGAACTGTCAGTTTATGTCCGAGAACGAAATCATTAGTTTTGTCCAGAAGGGCACTTGCAACGAAGACAGCACGCAAACAGGAAGGACCATCTCTGGCTACGGGGTCAAGCATGCATGAGAAGTACCCAATAGGGCGCTGGCGGGACCCGTGGGATTGAGTAAAGACCCCGGAAGCATGGCCCATCTTCTCAGAGAAAAAAGCTTGAAAGGCAATTTGTAGTTGGGAAGGCCCAAGGCAGGGGCCGAAGAGACTGCCCTTTGAAGAGCGAAGTAACAACTACGGGCTGTTGAGGATAATGTGAAGGGTTCAGTCTTTAAGGTATCATAGAGAGGTTGCATGAGTTGAGAGGCCTCAGGAATACAAGATCTGCAATAGGTGATGAGGCCCAGGAAGGCATGGTTGGATGGGGGGAGAGGTTTGTAATTGCACGAACTCTTTCCCTTGTTAGGTGATGGGTGCAATGGGAAAGGCAATGTCCCAAGAAGACCACGGAGGGCCGGCACCACTGGAGTTTTGCTTTGGAGGCTTAACAACCTTCTTCTGCAAGGAAACAGAGGAGATCCACGGAGCGTAGTTCAGCCGTTGGAAGGTCATCTGCACAGAGGAGCAAATCATCAACATACTGGAGCAGGACCACGTCTGGGTGAGACTTCTGCCAGGGTTCGAGTACAGTGGACATAGCTTTGGCAAATTGCGTTGGAGAATTTTATGCACCTTGAGGCATGACAGTCCATGTATACTGTTGCCGGTCATGGGTAAAAGCGAACAGATACTGACAAGAGGGATCCAGGGGTACACTGAAGAAGGCAAGGTCTACCACCGTGAAGAAGGCACTTGTGATAACAATATGTGTGGATTGGGTACGACTGCTGTGTCACGTTTGATAACCTCATTGACAGCACGAAGATCTTGGACCATACGGTATTGGTCTGGTTGGCCCTTTTCAGTTTTCTTCTTAACAGGAAACAGAGGAGTATTACACTGGGAAACGCATTTAATTAATGCACCTTTGGCCAGCAGGCTATCAACTTGTTCAGAGATTGCAAGTGCTTGTGCAGGTTGTAATGGGTACTGCGGTCTACATGGTGGAGTAGCTCCTTCAATTAATGAGACTATCACAGGTGGGACCTGGAGGCGTCCAATGTCATCTGGGCCTGTAGACCAGAGTTTAGTTGGAACCGTATCTAGTGCACTGGGGGCATCGGAGACCCTTGTGTCCTCTGTGGGGGATGTCATATGTAATAGTAGGGGCAAAGAACAAAGAACAGAAGTATCTTTACGAGAAAGTGGGGTAAGTAATTAAACCTGACCATCGGGGGTTAAGGAAATGGAAGCCTGAAGACGGGACAATACATCGGCCCCTAAGAAGTTAATGGGACAGATGGATGAGACAACAAACCAAGAGAGAATGTCAGAACCAACCAATAAGAGCTTGGTTAATGGGTTGTTCCTGGGGGTACCATCAACACCTACACAGGAAACATCAATGTCAGATAGACAGGAAGGATCAGGCAAGTCTTGTTCTCTGAGAACACTGCAGGTTGCACCTGTGTCAACTAGGAAGGTAGTAGGATGACCCTCAACTGGTAATACAACTGTCACTAGGGCCCCCCCGTCCCCTGCAGACACTGCCATAAAAAGGGTGTCAGACACAGGTTTGCCGGTTACTTATTGTACAAGATCTAGATGAGACTGATCAGGGCCAATGTAATGACTTGTAGTAGGGAGGCCTGATTGATGATTTTGATGGGCAGGGCGATAATGATTAGGTGCCGGGTGGTCATTTTGCTAGAAATCATCTGAAACATAATTAGCAGGGGGAGGGTGGGCATTAGTTGCTTGGGCATAATCCTGTGAAGGATAGTATGGTGTATGTGGTTGTGGATGCGCCTGTGGAGGATAACCATGTTGGGGGCCACCATATGTGGCTGTAGGGGGGTCCTGGGGTACAGGAGAGGTCTGGTGAATGGTGGTTGGAGCCACGGAAATGACCTGGTTGGTTCTAGGTGCTGCAGACTGTCCCTGTGCAGCTGGCATAATAGCCAATGTGGAATGATTCTGGGACATCAGGGTGGGTCTGATAGTAGGGCTGGAAGTAGAAAACATAAGCGGATTACTTTTCTTCTGAGATGGCTGTAGAACAGATTCTAAGCCCTTTGCTACCAGCAAAAGAGTATCCAAAGGGATAATCCTGTATTCGGGCCATGCAAGCACAAGGCCTTTCCTAATATGTTCCTTAAGGCCATCCACAAAGGCAGCTGATAACATCTGAGTATGTGTTTTGTTATATACACTAAAACCAAGATCGGAGAAGGTTTGGGTCAACCTGGAATGGTATTTTTCCACTGACTCAAGTTTATCTTGTATGATATCATTTATGCAAGTGGCCTGGTCAGCCAGTTTATCCTGGGCCCAGGCCCTGAGTTGTTCACAGAAAGTAATACCCGATTGGAAATCTGTATCAGTAGTGAGGACAGCATCATTAAAGCTCCTTTCCATAATAGGCCAGTAGGCATCCCCAGCCTTAATCTCACATAGAAGTTTAAACAGAGTGAAAGCCTAATGTAGGGATAAAGTATATAGGTAGTGAAGGGGTTAACCCTAAATGTAAGTATTGTTAGAAAAAGGAGAGAGAACACTACCTAAGAACATATATAGTTTAAAATGTAACTTTTAATAGTGAACAGAATATAGATTGATAATTTCACATATTAAATCTTAGTAGGTCTGCATATATAAGTACACCCAGATACATAAGAATAATATGAAAAAATAAGATTTAAAAAACGAAAAACAAAGTCCGAGTATCAAAGAAGTAATTGCCAGTGTTAACTGGACTAAAGGATCCAAATTCAAATAAAGAACTATCTACTATTGTGATACTATTATAGTTTGTCAAAATTATTCAGTTTAAATTAATCAGACTTTGTAAATATGAGCATCTGCTAGTATACTTCGTGCAGAATGCTTTTATAGATCAAAATTAAATAACCAGCTCGAAATAAAAGCACTCAATTGTTGTGATGCTGTTGCAATTTATCAAAAATAATTATGTTATAATTGATAACGATATTTCAACTAAGAAAGCAACTCTGACCCTAGTTTGTAAAAAATACTTAGTTGCAATCAAACCATAAACGCTCTAATAATATGACAGTACAAAGGCTCTGTCAAATTTAGCTGTTCGGCTTGTAGTTGAAACAAACAGATATATGATATAACAGAATTCCATGCAGAATAGTATTTTTTAGGAGTAAGCAGTTTCTTAACACCCCAGAATAAATATAGTCAGAAAGTAAAGAAATATCTGTGCCTTCGAGGGCACCTATCAGATAAAGAAACTAACTGCAAGTGGAAAAGAAAAAGAAAGGAATAATATCTCTATCCTTAATAAATAATTCTGCCCTAATGGACACCTTGTAGGTAGGTATTACAAACTTGTACATATATCTAGCTAACATTTAAATATAAGAGAGCCTGAATCCGTATACTGTAAAGTGTAATGAGCGGTCACTGCAATACGAGCGTTCATAGCCTCAAATAATATGAGCGGCTGGATTATTTAATCACCCTCCCCAAATACCCAATGTCTAAATGGTTCTGAACCAAAATGTAAGATTTAAAGATTAGTTCCTGCAAGTGCAGGGTATTTCAAATGTTTAGGAGGGATCTGAAAAACCCCGACGCGCGTTTCACAAATTCTGATTAATTTAAACTGAATAATTTTGACAAACTATAATAGTATCACAATAGTAGATAGTTCTTTATTTGAATTTGGATCCTTTAGTCCAGTTAACACTGGCAATTACTTCTTTGATACTCGGACTTTGTTTTTCGGTTTTTAAATCTTATTTTTTCATATTATTCTTATGTATCTGGGTGTACTTATATATGCAGACCTACTAAGATTTAATATGTGAAATTATCACTCTATATTCTGTTCACTATTAAAAGTAAAATTTTAAACTATATATGTTCTTAGGTAGTGTTCTCTCTCCTTTAATCTCACATAGGCTGTACAGATCACACCAGGCTGCTGAGTAAGCCTTACGAATTTGGGCAATCCTTCGGAAGAAGGGCATGGGTTGTTTTTCTGGATCGGGAAGAGAAGTTACCAAGGTTGCAGCTTGGGAGGGGTTAAATGTAACATAGATTGTCGGGGCTACTTCCACTGCTGATGAAGCAGGAAGGTGGGCAGTCATGAGGGCATGTCTATGGGAAGCTCTATTATTCGAAGGACGAAATGGGCTAAGCACTTGCACATTGTCGTTCCCGTGAGGAACCAGGAATGGGAGACCATGGTAACTGGCAACATCAAGTGAGTTGGGGGCTTGGGCAGCTGGAGTATCGGAACCGGGAGAACCGGCAGCAATGGTCTGGGGAGTGACTAACTGAGAAGTAGTGGGATGGAAGCCTGAGGCGGCAGGTGAGGCCTTCAGCGGCCAGAGGTTGTCCAGACACGGCAGATTAATTTGTCCCAACAATCATGAGTGGGTCATTGGGGGCGATTATGGGAGGAGCAGGGATGGGGGCTGAACTGGGTGAAGGTACAGGCTGAGTAGGTTGATATAAGTGGTTGGAGAGGGCGGAGATGAGTGATGAGAGGTCATGGGAGGAAACAACAGGATTAGAGGCGGGAAGGGGAGAGGAATCCGCAATAGAAACGGAAGGAGTGGGTTGGGGAGAAGGAGGAGTAGCAACGGGGAGAGGGACCAATGTCGTCTCGGAGGGAGTGACACATGAAGGAGGAGGGGGAACAGGAATTGGAGCAATGGGAAGGGTAGCAGCCTTGATGAGGAAGGGGCAGCCTCAGGAGAAATGGTGGGGAATGATGGCAGAGGGACAACATCAGTAACGACCTGTGAGAGTAGAAGAGAGTCGTGGGGAATGGGGCGGGAAGTGGGAAGGGAATAGGAATAGTGGGTGGTGTGATGGAGGGTGACGGGATAGGGAAAGGGTAATAATAGGATCCATCCGCCCCGAGAACAGGGTACAGAGGGGTGGGAGTAGGAGGGCCTTTGGCAATGGGGGTTGGAGACTGGGCAGTGTCTGAGGAGGCAGGGCATGGATCATTTGCGGTGTTCTGGGCGCCATCATAGGGCGGTGGTCGGGAAACAACAGGGGATGAATCATCATCATTACAAACTTTTCTGTGATACACATAAATCTTTTGTCCTTCAAAATCAATTTCCTCTGCCGACCAACCCTCCCATTTGAGTCCTCTTGCTACACGATACCAAGCCTCTACGGCTTTCGTCAACCCATTATCCAGTAGTATGCCCTCTTTATCAATGAGTAATTTCCTCCAAAACTCTGTTTGCAACTGTGACGAGACCAATCTCGGCACATTGCATTGGAGAAGCCTGGTTGCTCGCCTGCTGCCTTTGGACTATGGCCCCCTGTTAAAAGACATCTTTTTTACCTGCAGAAAAGCTTCATTCGTGCTTTTCTGCCTGGGGTTCGGTAGATTCAATCTACTGAACAACCGTATGAATGACTGGACCATCTGGGAGCTGGAGTGTGCTGGCAATTAACCTCCCTGAAGCTGCGGTTAACCGCAGCTTAATTGACGAATGCTGGGTGGCCGCCATTCGTATCACGAACACGAGGTCGCGGCCATTTTAAACATACGAATGCACAGCAGTGTTCATCTCTATTTTCATGGCACAGTTTTGCGCGAACACCGCTGAAGCCGCCTTCTTGTTCGGTGGAAGTGCACAAACGGCCCGGTGTTCGGTAGTTTTGTTTGAATGTGTTATACCCCAGATAGGAATCCCATAGAGTCCATTCGTATGAAACTGACTGTAAAGACTTTGGCTCCATGGCGATTGAACTGTGTTCGTGTGGTCTGAGCGCCATTCGCTTAATAATGTGTGCTCAGACCTGAGCTATCTATTTTAAATGTATAGTTTTAATGTTATGAGTCTCACATGGTGTATTTTAACAGTAATGCTTGTTTTAGTATCCCCACGTGCATAATGGCGATTTGCCTTTGTCTTGGGAGTTAATTGAATTACTTCTCAATTATCTCCCAGGGCAGAGGGGAGGAAGCCAGGATGCATTGTGGGAATATACTGTGACTGTGTGTCCCTTTTGTCAACTTGTCTGTCCCTTGTCACAGTCTCCCATTTGGTCCCTTAGGGGAGTGTCCACCAGGTGGGAGACCTGCATAAATACTGGGCAGGTAGCCCTCATTAAACAGACCACTGCTTGACCATCAACACTGAGCCTTGTCTCGTCTTTGGGGGGGATTTACTGAATGCTGATAGAGACTGATTGCTAGCAGTGTAAGCCGCTTGGATGCTTTTCCTATTCGTCTGGTAGCAGCAATTCGTATGGTTCCTGTTCATCTGTTTGGAGTGCTATATTGGATGCCGTTCGGGAGTTTGGAGCATTCACTTATTGGCGGTTCGTGTGTTTGGTGTTCTGCAGTAGCTGTGCCTGCATCTCTGGAAAGGGGGCCGATCGCCCAAAGTTTTTTTCCCCTTTTGTGCAAAACAGTCCGTTACAGCAACCTACCACTGGGTGACATTCGGAAACCACAAATCTTTGCTATCTTTTTCATTTTTAACATGGCTTCCTCTCCTGCTCTCTCTTTAACAATGTCACAGGCTAAATGACCTTTTGAAGGTCTATCATGCTCCTGTCCCATTTTTATCAAACAAGGCTTTTCCCCGTAAGAGGGACAGAGGTAGAGAGAAGGAAAAGAAGAAACGTCTACAGTGCTCGACTGCTACGAGGAATTAATCCCTGTGCATCTTCCCTAAACATAGACTAGTCACAGGATCCGCCCACCCGAGATGGTGGTCACGAATCTGAGCAGACGAGCGTGGGTGACTAACACAGCTCTGGGCAACAAGTACAGAGGAGATAGAGAATAAGGGAAAAGGTGAATGTGGAGAGACTAATCAGAATGCATTTACAGGAGTCACAAATATAGTGATGTGCACATAATCCGGAATCGAGGACAACCCATACAACACACACACACACACACACCAAGGGTACCCACACTATGACCACAACTGAACAAGAAAGAAAGTATAACAAAGAACAATAAGAATGTAAACATAGCAATAACTAGACAGTAAATGAACCCTGTTCTACTCTGAACAGTACAGCAAAATTCCCAGCCTTTCTCTAGGCTGTCCCCAGTCCTTTACCGGGTGGTTGCGTCCCCTGCCCGCTAGGCAGTCAAGCTATAATAATAAATCCCCAGCCTTTCTCTAGGCGGATGTGTCCCCTGCCCGCTAGGCAGTCAAGCTATAACAATAATGCGTCCCCTGCTCGCTAGGCAGTCAAGCTATAACAATAATGCGTCCCCTGCCCGCTAGGCAGTCAAGCTATAACAATAATGCGTCCCCTGCCCACTAGGCAGTCAAGCTATAACAATAATGTGTAAACCACACACCGGCCGTCTCACACGCACACACACACACTCAGGAGGCAGATAGGCAATCGACAGGTTCATCGTTAAAAAAAAGCACCAGATAAGAGATTACCTGTCTTGTAGCCTTCTGGAAGCCGGAAGTGGACATGGAGACAGACCGACACAAAACAGGAGAATACAGGCAAACCGCTGTATTTAGGAGGTGATCAGGCTCTGGATGTCTGCTCCTGTCCCGTTTTCCGGCCTTCCGAACCGGCGAGATCCGGTGCCCCACGTTGGGCACCAAATGATGTGGAAATCAATCAATAAATTGATTATCTTATGTATCTGCCCCTGGCCAAATTAAGAAGTAATGCGTGCACGCTCCTAAAGTAATTCACACCAGACACAGGTTTCAGGTTAATGAAAAACTTGAGGAATGTTTATTCAGGGGGGACGACATGTCCCTTATAAAGCAAAATTACATCATAAGCATTGTCAGAGATAACATTAAATAATACATCAATAATTGGTTAGGTGTTAAGTGGTTCATTTAATGCTCTACCTACTGGGGGTGATGTCACTGGTATCTTGGAGGTCTCCCCCAGATTCCAGCGCCATCTTGTTAGTGAGGGTGTTAGTCGATGTCGAAACCCCCTTACGGCCATTTTATGTTAATCACATAGCTAGAAAGTTGAATAATGCTGATTGCAGTTATGTTGAGTAAATAGACATTTTACTGATATAAATTGGGTTAATATTTTTGTCCACAACACTCTCACACCATCACCCCCCTCTCCCTATCAACATCACCCCCTCCCTTTCACCACCACCCCCCTTCTTCTAACCATCACCCTCTCACCATGACTCCCCTCTCCCTGTCACCACCACCCCCTCCCTCTCACATTCACATTCACCCCCTCCCTCTCACCATCACCCCTTCTTCTAACCATCACCCTCCTCCCTCTCACCATCACCCCCCTGTCCCTCTCACCATCACTCCCCTCTCACCATTACCCCCCTCCCTCTCACATTCACCCCCTCCCTCTCACGTCACCCCTTTTTCTAACCATCACCCTCCTCCCTCTCACCATCACCCCCTCTCACCATTACCCCCTTCCTCTCAACATCACCCCTCCCTCTCACCACCACCCCACCCCACTCCCTCTCACCACCACCCCCTCACCCCTCCTCTCACCACCATCACCCTCCCTCTCACCATCATCCCCCTCCTCACACCATCACCCTCCTCCCTCCCTCACACCATCACCCTCCCCTCCCTCACACCATCACCCTCCCTCACACCATCACCCCCTCACACACACAGCCTCCCCAGACACACTGTTAGCATCCCCTCACACTGTCACCTCTCCCTACACTGTCATCACCCCCCACACACTGTCAGCCTCTTCATGCAGCTACACTCACATTAACCACTCCTAATCCTGTTAATCTCACCCCCTCCAAACTCACCTGCTCTCACTCTGCCACACTCACCCTGTCACATTAACCCCCCTTAATCCTGTCACACTCATCCTCCTACCATGACACACTTACCTCCACTCGTCCTGTCACACTACCTCATCAAAGCATGTCATACTCCCTGTCCCTCATTCTCTTTCAACCCCCCCCCGCCCTGTCCATTTACCCCCTTTGCCCTGTCACATTCTCCCTGCCACTGATATCCCTTTACTCACCTTGTCACAGTCACCAGCTGAAGACATTCATCATACACACACAGTCAGGAAACATAGGTTTGCCATAAACACAAGCACAAAGGCTACAGGCAGACCCACATACACACTACACACTTGAAGCAGCTACCCCATACACATACGGTCCCAGACAAAAACGCAAACATGCTCATAGAGACATACATTCACACACACTCTCAGGCACATACACAGGTAAACTGCGCATCAATGTGTATATGTGACAGTGTATTTCACTTTTTTGTTAGTGGGGCATCATGTTTGAGTTTCGCCTAAGACCTCAAAGTCTATATCTAATGAAATTTCCACTTTTAACAGAGCAAGAGGTACAATTGTAAATTACAGCTGATGGAAAATGAAATCAGTTTTTTTTCATGCAGGCTGTGTCAATCATAGCCTGGGGAGGTGTGACAAGGGCTGCATAAACAGGAAAAAGGTCATTTAACTCTTAAATGGCAGTGAATTGAGCAGTAAAACCTGAGAGGCACGATCTATACAATAAAACTGCTTCATAAAGCTAAAGTTGTTTAGGTGACTATAGTGTTCCTTTAATGTCTAAACTGTTGGCAACAAAAGTAAGTACACACTAAGTGGAAATGTCCAAGTTGGGCCCAATTAGCCATTTTCCCTCCCCGGTGTCATGTGCCTCATTAGTGTTACGAGGTCTCAGGTGTGAATGGGGAGCAGGTGTGTTAAATTTGGTGTTAACGCTGTCACACTCTCTCATACTGGTCAATGGACGTTCAACATGGCACCTCATGACAAAGAACTCTCTGAGGATCTGAAAACAAGAATTGTTGCTCTACATAAAGATGGCCTAAGCTATAAGAAGATTGCCAAGACACTGAAACTAAGCGGCAGCACAGTGGGCAAAACCCAGTGGCGTAGCAGGGGGAGGGGGGGGCGGTCTGACCCGCTCCCTCCTTGTAGCATGGCCGAGCTCTGCTCCGGTCTGTGGTGCTTGCTAAGGGGAAGGGAGGGGAGAGGGCCACTAAGAGGGGAGTAAGAGGAACACCAAGGGGCAGGGAAAGGGGGTCATACTAATGACACGGAGGGGAGAGGACCATTTAGGGACAGGGAAGGAATGGGGGAGAGGACCACTAAGGGACAGGGAAGGGGGGGACACATTAAGGGACAGGGAAGAAGGGGGTGAACCACTAATGGATGGGGGGGAACTAAGGAACAGGGAAGGGGCAGGACACATTAAGGGAAGGAAGGGGAGAGGACCACTAAGGGACGGGGGGAGGACAACTAAAGGACAGGGAAAGGAGGACACATTAAGGGACAGGAAAGGGAGGGGAGTGGGCCACTAAGGGGGGCAGGAGAGGAACACTAAGGCACAGGGAAGGGGGGAGAGGACCACCGAGGGACAGGGAAAGGAGGACACATTAAGGGACAGGAAAGAGGGGGTGGGGCCACTAAGGGAAGGGAAAGGGGGGGCAGAGGGAGGGGAGAGAGACACTAAGGGGGGAGGGAGAGGAACATAAAGGGAGGGGTGAGGACCACTAAGGGGCTGGGGGAGGAACACTAAGGGGAAGGGAGGGGAGAGGACCACTAAGAGGGGAGTGAGAGGAACACTAAGGGGAAGGGAAGGGGGACACACATTAAGGGACAAGGAAGAGGGGGAACCACTAATGGACAGGGAAGGGGTGGGAGAGGACCACTAAGGGACAGGGAAGGGGGGACGCATTAAGGGACAGGGAAGGGGGGATCACTAAGGGACTTATACAAGTCTTTGACTTTGAGTATTTTGGAACTTTGTGACTTTCCCTACACTCCAAAAAACATAAAAACCTATGGACATGATAACCTGCATAACCAGGCTTGTGTCCGGATCAACAGGGCATGTACGCAAAATTATAGATAGTCAAGATGGCGCCGGTACACAGTACTGAAAATGTTAAAAGCCACAAAACACAGCACCAGAATAACTCATGTATAGCTTCAGAATATAGTTATGAGAACGTAGCTAGCTTTTAGATGAGATATTAACCACACAGATCTGGCATGGCATTGTTGTGGGACTGGAAAGCCTGGCCAGCTGCAGGTCCCATCCGATGCTTTTGCAAGGTCTTTGCTGGGCTGCACTGATAATAAGATTTGGTAGTAAAGTACAGACTATTCACCCCTTTGATTATTAAATTTCTTATAAAAGACTAGAGAACTTGGCACTCGTTTGGAGTACTACCCACCTGTAATACGGACACGTTGCTGGTTCTGCTGATTTCCCAATAAGACAATAAGCCAGAAGTTCTCTCAGTCGAGTGCAGCAAGCCTCTCTTATGGTGATGTATACTGTTTTTTTAAGTTGTTTTTATTAAGCTGTTTCTTTGAGTTGTTCCTTTAAGCTGAATGATTACTTATTAATTATTTGTTAGTCAACAAAGTTTGAGTTGATTATTTACAATTACTTGATGCCCTTTCTCAAATACTCAATTCACTCATCCCGAATAGGGTTTTGGTGTCCACCAATATCTTTAAAAACCTTAGCGTAATTGGTTATTGCTTTTTGATATTGGCGCTTCATGAATTTAATGATTAGGCACAACATTTTGGCATCACTGACAGGATTAGCTGAATTTGAGTTGAGAATTGTGGAATATAGTTGCTAGGAATGTGCTAGCATAAGTTTAAGATAAGAAAACTGTGTTTTGAAACTGTTAAGGCCACACGGAGAGTGCGCAGCTTAGTGGACAGGGGCACATGTATGAGTGTGGGATGGATGATGCATGATTGGCTATATGCTACATGTGGGAGTGTGAGATGTGAGGAAGTGGGTGGTGACAGATCAGACTGACCTCAGTGCCTCTTAGGAGCCGGGCCAGCAACAAGTTTTCCACCCACCCTCCCTTTGCTGCTTTGGGCCTGGTGGGTTGTCACAGCGAGGCAGGGGTGTGTCTTTGCCAAATAAGGAATGGTTTGGTAGATTAGATGAAAAAGGGGGATAATGGCCGGGTCTCATCCTCCCCTGTCTCTTATGGTGAACCTGTAGGAGGTACCAGGTTGGACGTGTCCCCACTGGGTTGTAAGTCGACCAATGGGGAGCATTATGGTTGGGCCCCACCGAGTTGGTGGGGAGCCCTGAAAAGGAAGATGTTTTTATTATGCCGAGGGAGGGAGGTGAGAGCCTTGGGGAAGTTAGATTGGCAAGGACGGTTTCTTTGGTTACTGTATGACTATATGCAAATTGTTTATGTTAATTTATGATATTTATTATTTTGTTATATGTTAAAGGAGTCATACAGTATTTGGTTGTGTTAATAAATGCTGTGGCCTGTTTTCTCCAAGAAGTTGTCTGTCGTTATTTGAAGGGGTAAGTTATGGTTTTATGGGGGATGAAAGGAATGCTATCCAATGCCCACTATGTACATACAAGAACTGTTTATGTAGATTTTCAGTAAAGGTGAAAGTGAAACTAACATTGTACGAGGTTTAGTTTCTGCTGCGTCACGAAAAAAGAAAGAAAAAAGAGAGCTGTTTAAAAAGCTGTCGGTTTCTTCAGATTTCTGTAGAAAATATACTATAGATATTTTAAGATCAGATTACAATAATTACGGTTTCTAGAGATTCTTTGAACATTGTGTAAACTTGAAAATAATTGCATGACGTGAAAGAGCAAAATTGATGTGTGAATACTCAATCTAAAAAAAACTAAACAAAAAAAACAAAGATTGAGGAGTGATTCTGAAGATTGATACAAAGAATACAAGTTGTGCTCAGTCAGTAAATGCACCTATACACCCTAACAGTGTGTAGAAAGCCAGTGCTGATTGGGGAGTGATACCCTTAAACAGGCTAGCATCCTGAATAAGGCTGAATTGCTGCTAATTCAATAAGCTCAATACCAGGTATTGAGATAAGGTCACCAATACTACAAGATTGTTTGGGGTGATTCTGTCACAAATGGGTGATTGTGCTTGGTCAGTAACAGTTAACAGGTGCTGGAAGCCAGTGCTGACTGGGGAAGTGAATGAAATGGCTGTTCCTGAACGTGTGAGATTGTTGGCTTGATCATAGACGCCCATATACACTTCACGGAGTGTGTAGAAAGCCAGTGTGGTCGGGGAGTGCAAACCTGCAGCCAAAATAGTGGCCTGGACAGGCTTGAGTGAAGAATAAGACAATAAGCCAGACACTAGGTGTCTGGATTAGTATACATTCAAGTGAAATTAAATAAACACATAGAACACATATTCCCAAGGAATGCAAGTTTTTGTGTTTTTTTTAAACAAAAAAACTCCACAGGACATTTGAACAATGTTTAAAAATAATAAGAAACAGGGTGATGACACCATCATACCTGGATGGGAAGATGAGCCATATGAGACTAGCTGAAACAGAGGCAGGAGGCATTAATCTTGATGCCATAGACTCACCAATGTTGGCTACTATCTCAGAGGATGAGAATGTCAGGAGGAAGTTGTTAAACGGACCTCCCGCAGTAGATGGGAATCCGGCTTCACTTACTCTCCTGGAGCTTGGTCAGATAGGATTAAAATTGTGGTATCCATCTATCAGTGATTGAGCAGATAATGACAAACCATGGTACAGGCTGACAGATGCAGTAAGGAAACTGAAACAGGAGATGGTCAGACAGGCTATCCAGAATTCGCAACAACTGGATTGACTGATGGAGATGCCTGTGACAGTTCAAATGAGAAATTAAATCATAAAAACTGCCTCTCCAGCATATAAGCAGGTGGTAATGACACTGCTTATCAAGCAAACCAGAAACACATTGCAATTAGTTACTGAAGCCATTATACAATTAGGGGATTTGACAGACCTAAGAGATAGGGATTGACTAGTGAGGCAGGCTCCAGTGATTGATTTTTCAGTAAAAGATCACAGACCCCATGTGAAAGTTGAAATTCACTGGTAGAATAAAAATGTTGAAAGGGTTACTGCCCTTGTAGACACTGGAGCTGAGGCCACTTTAATTTATAGAAACCCTAAGAAATTTGTTGGATTACCCTATGTAATCACAGGTCTGGGAGGTAAGAGAACAGAAGCAGTCCAGACATGGGTAGAACTGAAAACTGGACAATTGCCAAAAATAAAGTATTCAGTTTTAATTGTCCACACACCTGAATACATAATTGAAATTGATATCCTTAAAGGGACACTATAGTCACCAGTGCAACTACATGTATTCCTGACCCTATAGTCAGTGGCGTACTAAGGGGGGGGGCGGAGGGGGCGGTCCGCCCCGGGTGCCACCAGGGTGGGGGGTGCCATGACCAGCCCCGCCGCCCCCCCCCCCCATGCTGCAGCCGCCCTAGCGCTCTGTATAGAGCCTCAGGCGGCTGCAGCTTTGCCCGGGCGGTGCGTCCATGAGGGTGGACCGCACCGACCGGGCGCAGCCTGAGAAAGGGGGCTGACAGGAGGGAAGCGCTGAGCGCTCCCTCCTGTCAGCTTCCTTTGCTGTAGCGTGGCCAAGCCCTGCAGCATTGATAGTCCGACGGGTACAGAGAGCAGGTGTCTCCTGTACCCGGCCGGACTAACAGGAAGTGCACACAGCTGCTCTCTGTACCCGCGGACTATACTGGGCTTGGCCACGCTACAGCAAAGGTAGGGGGGG